ATAAGGTGATTCAATCAATGGTTCGAGTCCCAACTGTAATTTGACAGCTTCATGTAAGCTAAAGAATGCAAAGTTTTAAATGTTTCGATTTTGTAAATAAACTAGACTACATCCACCGTCGGATTTTGTGTTAAAGCCTATGTATAATTTGTAAAATTACGAGTATAAATCCACTACTACGACTTTTGAACCACACCAAGATCATAATTAAATGTTCATAAGATAAAACGTTTTCGAAAATTCATTAATTTGTTGAGTAAAATAAGGATATTGATTAGACAGTATCTACTTCATCTATGTGCGTATGACTTAAGTGATATCCTCCTTGAATACCTAGAGGGCTCATAGGTTACGTTTCTTAGGATTTTGGAACCATTGATTTTATGAAAACTTATAATGACGTAAAAGCAACTTTAATTTTATTTTTGATATTAACAGAAGTTTTAATTAGATTATAAACATCTAGGTCATAATTGTTATGAATGTCCTGAAAAAAGCTGAGCTTTGAGTCAGGTTTAATCATTAGGTAAATAATTTTCAAATTGTGCTGATGAACCTGTGGTATATAGAGTGAAACATTCAGAAAAAGCTTGTTTTGATTTGTTAAACACGCTAGGATTATATTAAAACTAACTTATATAATACTAAAAGGATTTAGTGTTATTACTTGTATTACACCGTCGTCGGTGGGATCGAATTGATCAATCTCTGTTGGCATATAGGCTCCTGTGCGGATGTTTCGATATTGCCTGTCTTTTAACTATGTATAGTAATGATGGGCAGTGGCTAGCAGTGGTATCCAGGATGCTCATTTCGTCCTATTTGGGACTCCATCATCTTTTGGTAGTATCTTGTCAACTGCTTACAACCAAGAATATCAAAAAGTAATGAGTTTTTATTTACTGGATGTAAAAGGAATACCTGTTAGTAAATAAGAACGAAATAAATAGTCATAGCACTCTAAAAGAAGGTTAATAATGCATAACAAACTCCATGTTTTTACTCTTTCCGGACTGATAGATTTCAAGGTTTTATTCATCACAAACTACCTGTAACTTATAATGGATGACATCGTCAAATGATTGTCAGAAACAAGTTACCGAGGCAGAGAAAGGTTGGCCAAAGCTTTTCTTGGACATATCATCATCATCATCGTCAGTATCAACATAGGACCGGGCATTACTGCGTAACGGTATGAGTTGCCACAGCTCATATCAGCACATCAAGTAGAAAGGTAGTGAGGTGAAAGATGAAGATAAGAAAATCCAGTCAAAAGAAATATAAAAAACGAGAAGAGAGAAAGGAGGAATGACAAAATGATGAGAATCGGTATAGTGTTAAGACGAGGATAATGTTTGTATACATATGCATCAATGGTATCGGTTGTGAGTCATATCAACACCTACAGTCTCCAACCACTGGCTCCTCTTGTCCCGCGGACCACAACCACCTAATCTGCATCGCCCCACATGGCTCAAACCAACAGTCAGAGACTTTATGCATTGGTGCCATGTTTTAGTCTGGACACCTCAAGCCTTTTCTCAGCCTGAACCTACTTCGACCAACATTGTGTGATGAGGCAATCGGCAGCTAGGCATAAGTAGTAAGTGTTCCAACCATCTTAGTCGATGAAGGCTCATACCTCTACTCCCTGAAACTCTACAACTAACTTCTGCATTACTCACGTGATGACACCAGGCAATACAGCCTATACTACGAAGGCAACAGTGGTTAAACATCTGAAACCTTTTCACGTCTTCTACCTTCAATGGCCATGTTTCACAGACATACACTAGAACAGACCGAACTGTTGTGCAGTACACGCGACCACTAATAGACAAACGGATATCATGGCAGCGCCATAGGTGGCGTAAATTGGCAAAAGCCAATCGAGCCTTTGTATCTGTGCAGAGATTTCATCGGCAACTGACCCACCAGGGCTGATCCTACTTCCCAGGTAAGTGAAGTGGTCAACATACTCAATCACTACACTCTCTATTATTAGCCGTGGCACCGCTGAAAGACCAATTGTGGAGCATCAGTTTGCATTTGGGTGGTTAGACCCACATCCCAAAGATTCTCAAATTGACACTCAAAGTGTTCAGAAGATTCTGCATCTTGTCAGCGTTTTTACCTAACAGGACATATAGGTCAAGTTTGAAGAGTTTGATGGCTATAGTCTTACAAAGTCTCATGAAGAGTAAGCTTATTTGTTTATTTATTATCTTGAAACAAAACAAGACATCTACCTAATATCCTGTGTCAGTCAGATGCCGATCAACTGTTCAGAACGGTACCTCTTTCAGTCTTAAAGTCTTTGGATTGCATTCAGAATGTTTATACTTTACCCTTCCTTTTCTTCTTCCAATTTTTCGCTTTAGAAGTCATGCGCAAATCCATATACACACTTAGAGGTAACAAAGAAAGGTTGCCTGTTAACTTTTGACTAGACAAATGAATACATTGTTTGGTTAAATGGAATCAACTTAAATAATCTGTTAGGAGTTCCCACAATTTCATCAATTTTATAACTAAGGAAACTGGATATAAGCTCTTTATTAACTGTCTTCCAGTTGTTTGTATATTCTTTGAAAAGTATTCGTGATGATCCATTTTCTTGTGGGCATATTTATCAGTTATCCACAACTTATCCTCAAATTCAGCACTGAAGTGTATCATTGTAACTCCGGGGCACAATGTTTAAATGAATTATCATATGTAGTTGATCGGATAAAAGCTAATAATTAGATCTATGTAAAATAAACAAGAAATATCTTCTATCTGATTTGTCTTTATGATAAATGATACCACTTAAAAGTTTTGGTACACTTTCCTTGTTCACTTCGATGCTTGTACACTCTTCACTCAAAAATTTGATGTTCCATCAACCCACAGATGATTCTTAGTCTTTAGATAGTGACTTAAGTACTAGGGTTATTAAATAGTGCGGTCAAATTGTTCAAACTGTGTTACGCAAATATTTGATAAGATTTTGTTAAATTAAGTCTTCTTAGTATAGGTAGTTTGGGTAAAGAAATCGTAGGATATGCACAATTTGTTTGAAATGACAAAACCTTCAGCTTGATACACTAATCAGACTGGAACAAGTCAAGTTAATATAACTTCGTGAGCGAAGAAATATATCTTCTCAATTAGTTCCTCATCAAAACGTAAAGTTACATACTAATCTAGTGATTAGAGTTGTTCTATGAAAGTTGGTCAATCTCAAAATACCAAGAAGGTGATAATTGATCAGGTAATTAAGACAATTAAATAAAGCATAGGTTATTACTATTTACTGACATACTTGGAATTCTCCGTTGTTTTATTGAATCCAATTGTTTGACAACTATTGACATACAGGCCCCTATGCGAATGTCTTGATGTTGCCTGAACGTTAATTAAGGTAATTTGTTTGGTTGTGGCTGGCAGAAGAATCCAGGATGCGCGCTTAATCCTACTTAGGATTCGTCAGCTGGACGTACCTGCACCTGAGTGAGAAGTGACGTTGTTCCCACTGGGATTCGAACCTCGTACTCATCGCTTCAAACACCAAGGCATTGTCCACTGTACCACGAAGGAACGCTGGCAGCTTCTTGTACATTGTTCAGAGGGTTTGAAGTGATGGATACGAGGTTAGAATCTTAGTGGGAATAACATCATTTACTGAGGTGCAGGTACATCCAGCTGACGAGTCCCAAGTAGGACGAAACGAGCATCCTGGATTCTTCTGTTAGCCACAACCAAACAACTTACCTTAAAACGTAGAACACTTATAGTAGAAAGACTTTGTGAAATTTTAAACAGGTTCTTATATAACTGATATTTGTATAATGATAATTAAAGAGCGAAAATGAATTGTTAAGTAAAGTGGTAAGTTGTTGACGGTACTTTGAGACAGCTGGGGGGGGGGGGGGAGAAGATAGCTAAAACTGTAATGGTAATAGTAAAAGTAACAGTAATACAGCTATTGAAATACTAGGTAAAATAGCTTGTGGGATGAATGGAATGAAGGGTCTTGTTGTAATAAATAAGGTATACAGATGGTCAAGGTGAAGAAACAGGCTGTACGAAGTTCTGATATGTATGTAATTTTCCTTTTTGGAAATGTTGTATATTAGTGTACAGCCATTGAGGAGGAGAAGAAATATTTCTTCACTCACACTGTTTGTTTTATTAAATGTCTAAATGGGAATTTTCGCATCACTTAAATAACTTCATCAATAATCAACCCTTCAGTAAGTTTATTTGTCAGCCTCATGTTTCGGTAAAGAAGAGATTGGATTTTGCAATAATGTATAGCTGATTCTTGTGATATTTCTCACTGATCTCACTATGTCAGTCCTATCCCCGAATTTAAAATGTTTCTATGGGAAACTTTCTTTTTTTCTGTATCTGGTAATGGCCTGGTTGATCGTCTCTAATGTAAAGTGTAGGAACAAACATTTAGAGGTTGACAAAGGCTAAAATTATTTTGCATTTCATATTAAGATTCCATTGTTGCTACTAGGAGACACTAAATAGCACATGCTTCGAACTAAAGTCAAATGCTTCGTTGGCAATAGACAGAGGCGTTCAACAGCCCAGTAAATAATTTCTTTATACCTTAAGGTTTGCGAAAACTAGAGAAAACTATAGGTCATACTAGTGCCTACTTATTTAATAAGGTTGGGAATATAAATCCACTGTTTATAAATTCACAGGTTTCCATTGATACTCGGAGGCAGTACCAACCAGTCTAAACACTGTGAACACATTCCCTTTAGAAGCTTAATATTTGACTAATTAGAATTTAAGTTGAAGGCTTATATTAGTGATGTAGACTAAATGCATATTCTGCAGACATTTCTGAAACTGTTGTAGGAGTAGATGTAATGTAAAAGTTTTACAAAAAACGAAGTCATGATATCAAGAAAACTTAATAATAAACACAGATTTATCATACAAAATGAACGAAATCAAAATGGTTCTGATGACATATTCTTCTAAGGAATTTACTATCAGATACTTGAAGCAACTACCGTTGTTTGTGGTAGTGATCCAAATGACCTAAACAATAGAATTATGACGTCATCAATAGAGAAGTGGATGAAGTCACCCATTTCATGTGAGAATGACCTATCAAAAAGAAAACAGAACACTATTGAAATACCAATATAAAAGTCTACGTGAATTTTTCAACTAACATTGTTTACAGATAGGTTAGTAATCACAAGTTTATTAGTTAACATACTATAAAAGATGCACAATAGGCTAATTTATCACGATGACATTCCTGATAAATCTTTCACTATCACCAAATAGACAGTCAGTATTAAAGAACAATATTTAATTAACGAAATAAATGTATCATCCTGTACTCATTTCTTAGTTGACTTGAAAATAAAAACCCTATGCACTGCTAGTCCATCTTAGTATATTTATTCGAAATATCATACAGTAAAAACAGTATCATTTACTGGATAACGTTTCAACGACAATTTATTGTCCATATTCATATCAGGTAACTCCACAACTTCGAGACAGAGTCTATATCGTCCTAATTTTCTCTCCTTCTTTCTTATTACAAGGTTGGCAGGATTTTCCAGAGATCTGAGAGAGGTATAGAATCATTTCGATTGCATATATTTCATGTTGATTCGATAAACAAGGATTCGGTTATCAATATCTCCCCTCACCCCATTAAGTTAGTTTTCAACACCGTTGCTCTATCCCATCCTATTGTGTGATTGTGTATCGTAGCATGCAGATCTGTAGCCGAGCTTTTCTCTAAATTTCTTCTCTTATTAGGATCCATTAATTTTGATTTAGCTAAGCTTTTGTTCTCTGTTATTCTGATCGACCTGTGTATTTAGCCTTATACTCATTACAAGGGAGATGGTTAACTAAGTTATTTTGCCCAGTTGCATCCATAGGATCTTTTAACCTACAGAACTTGTTCCTGAGAGAGTTTGTTGGGCCAGTCAGAGGTTCTCCTCGCTTATTCTTGTTATTCTGGTCATCTGATCTCCATCTTCAGTGTCAATGTCGAATGAAAGCAGGCAGCAGCTGTTGATGATTCGACGTATGTCTGCAGTTGCTCGTTGGAAATGCTTTTCACAACGCGTCAAAACTCTCAACAGTCACAAAAAACACTGACTTCACTGGATTCGTATTGAAAATCCGAATGTTATTCACCCTTCATACTGAGTGCAGTGCAATGGGCTACAGTACATCTCCACACTGATTATCTACGACCAATGCAGGAAGGCCCATCTCCTTGTCTTTCCGATATTGGCGTCGACATCGTCATCTGTGCCTGTGACTGTGACTGTACCACCACCTGTAGTTGAAACGATGCTGTGTAGGTATGTGGATGAAGCAGACAACTTGCTTCAGGTTTCTTCCATTGATGGTGATTAGTGCATTTTGTTGGTGATGACTGTTGGGTATCTCCACCACCTGTGTCTTCTCTACCTTCACCTCAATGAAGTCCCGTCTTTCTTCGTTGCCTCGCTTCGCCTACCAACTTGTTGGTTTTCACCTGTAGATCTTCGATTCTGTGTGACATAAGACATTAGACATGAATGATCATTGTTGGCGAAGTCTAAGTCTTCTTCTGTGGTCTTTTCATCGTTGAAACAGTAAATGCTCATCTTCTCACTCCTCACAGTTCTGTTGTATGATCCATTTCAGTCAAGTCGAACAAAATGAGGAAGATGATCGATAATAGTAAGTTGTAACCTTGTCTTACTCCTGTCTTCACTGCAAAGGCATCAGTGAACTTTCCGTTGGTTCATCAGCTCCCTTGCAATGAGTATAAGGTTAAATACACAGGTCGATCAGAATAACAGAGAACAAAAGCTTAGCTAAATCAAAATTAATGGATCCTAATAAGAGAAGAAATTTAGAGAAAAGCTCGGCTACAGCTCTGCATGCTACGATACACAATCACACAGTAGGATGGGATAGAGCAATGGTGTTGAAAACTAACTTAATGAGGTGGGGGGAGATATTGATAACCGAATCCTTGTTTATCGAATCAACATGAAATATATGCAATCGAAATGATTCTATACCTCTCTCAGATCTCTGGAAAATCCTGCCAACCTTGTAATAAGAAAGAAGGAGAGAAAATTAGGACGATATAGACTCTGTCTCGAAGTTGTGGAGTTACCTGATATGAATATGGACAATAAATTGTCGTTGAAACGTTATCCAGTAAATGATACTGTTTTTACTGTATGATATTTCGAATAAATATACTAAGATGGAATAACAATCTACCACAGTGCCCAAGTTTTCCTCCTATATTAACTTCGCTTTGTTATAATAACTATGCATAATAATGTTACTCGTGAATACTGTTGTAGTTCTCCTAAATATCAAATTCTCAACAGTACTTATAAAGAATTAAACGCAACGATCAACAAGTGACAGCAATATTTTTAGCGAAACTTTTCCAAATTTTAGGATATTCCTTACAGATGTGTTCCTAGCTGTCATACCAAATAAATTTGTAGATCTAAGGAAAAGTATTATCTCTAGAGCTTATCCACTGTTTGCTTCACTTAGCATCGTTTTTCTCTCCGTTCACATTTGTAAAGAGGAGCTTGAAGTCGAAGGAAACGTTCGTACGTAATCAAACTGTGAAATTTGAGAAAACTTATCAGTTAGGGTTATAGATCCGAGAACTATCAAGGGTTGGATATGAAAGTTCATTCATATGCTGACAAGTATCATTTTATTAATCACGACGCTAAGAAGTATGATTATTTTCCGCATATACGCAGATGAGATACAATACTTCAGATGAGTTTGACTTCTTATGCATATAGCAGGTGGTAATAGGTTTAAGAAAATATCGAAACCCATGATATCTTAGTTAAAGTTATCAGATTTCGTTAAATATTCATATTACAGTGTCAATCTATATAAAAGATTTCAGTAGTTCATGGCGGCTTGCTTGAACCTCTTTCTTTTCTTTTCCAGATTCTCACCTCTAAACTCATACACACTGCTGCAACAATGTATTACCTACCCACAGGCTAGACAAAACCCTATCAACAGCTGGTTATGCATTCAACTCACTCTTTCTTGAGTTAATAACAAAACAGAGAACAGATGTCACGTCATGTGAAAGTGGACTTTTCAGTGAGCAAACTTACATCATATTTCTATCCCTCATATACCTAGCATGATTTGCAGACCCCTGTACTGGCTGAATAAACTCCCACCACTAAACTTACGCTCACGTTTGTATTGGTTCCTCATTATGAACTGGACGCTAATCCAAAACCAGCTGGCTGTTTCAAATTATTGCCTTGAATATGATTGTTATTATCCACATCATTCAGATGCAATAACCATTTCGTCCAAAAATATAGTTCTAGGGGTGACTTTGTTAAAAAAAACTACATGCTGAAAACTCTGCACTGCATGATACATATCGTTTGAAATAAAGCGATTATTATTATTACTAGCTGGCATACATCGGGGAGAACAGAGCTGGAAAAATGAACTGTTTGCACATGAATAAATATGGTAACTTCTGCTACTTGTAAATCGGTGTGGCAATAATTTCTAATCTCATTGTCTTGTCGATGATTGGATGGAAACGTGTGAATCTCTGAAACATGAACCACTACAGTCTGATCCGTCTATCAAATGTGTTACTGGCTACTTGAAGATAAATAAACTCTATTAGAAGTATTAATCCAGTTAGTGATTTTAACCTGTGGTATGTGTCCATGTATGTGTATTTGTTATCTGGCTCCAGTATACCCGAGGTGCATTTTTCCGCACTGAATTTACACACACTAACAGAGGTATTACTCGAAGTTTTAAACCTTTGCTCATCTTAATGAACGTTACTTCCTGTACTTAAGCAGGAAGAATCCAAACAACGTACCTTCATGATAGTGAATACTCCTTCCTATGCATTCCGCTAATGCTGACTCATGGGTTTTGTCTCACTGGGGTCTGCACAGCCTTCCGAAAGACATTCATCAAAGAGGCCCTGCCAGTAATCGCATAATGCTGACAGATTCACATCATTGGCCCTCTTCGGGCTCTCGACAACATCAAGGCTGACGACACCGGCAAAAATACATTCATCTCAGGGAACTGCCTCAACAACAATAATAACCGAGACTGAGAGGCTGATTCAACTTACCATTCATTTCCACTGCTCCTACCACTCTAAGCTGAATCTGGGCAGCTGGCTAGGTCATCCGTATTTTGGAGATATGCGTCACTGAACTTGTGTTTATGGGTCTCGTCGACCGCGATTGCCTCCAAGTCTACTCGTTGGTGGATTGGTTTAAATCCAATAGCTCTACAAACAGGCTCACCATCGCCAGCAACTAGGCTCGACTAAAAATTCCCAGGGTACACACTATCCCTGGTTTTCGCAGGTCGGTAGCTCAGACCTAGCACCACTTGTCCACGATGTATGGAGATTCTTCACTTCGAAGCTGTTTGGACAGTCATAGTTAAAATTACACCCCGATGAGTTAAGAAAGTAAGCAACTTATTTCTACGGTATTTTAGCCCAATAGATTATCGCAGTCAGCTTCTATAAGGATGTAGTTATGGAAACATGAAGGTTAAGGAAATGGTAACAGTGAAATGTTAAAAGTAATTTTCAATGATTCAATGTAAAGACTTACCCACAGAAGTGTTTACCAACTACACAATGCCATGATGTGGAATACTTCTTATCAAAAGCCTTTTTTATAAAACCAGCAATACCACTCCATGTCGGTTCCATAACAAGTGCCTCTGATGCTACTCTAGCCGCATGTATTTCTACATCTTCAGGCATTTCACTGCTGATTACAGTAACTTCATACTCTTTCATTGTGTCATTGAAGTAGACTTTTTAGTGAAGTATATCCTGCCTTTTATATACATGAATAATAATACAAAATATTCTAATTAGTTGAATAAATGGATTAAGAAGAGAATGAATATATATGTGCACACACGCATGTAAGAAGTAACGATTTTTACAGTGTTGGCAATCAAAAGTTCCATTGACTTCACTATATTGTTCATATTTTTCTCAATGAATGCTAAGTGTCATGCATATTACTAGCTTATAGTACAAAATTATTTTGAAATAGGCTCTTGTCATATGATTCAGAACTGATTGGTCATTGAATCCACATAAGTTACTTAATCAACCTCCGTAATGATTTAAAATTATACTTTATGATAAAGTATCATGAAAAAAATAGTTTTCTTTTTGAAACCAATAGATATTAAAGCATTAAACATTTTGAAAGGTTTTAGCAGTTTATAGAAAAAAACAAATTTATGAATGATAGTTTCTTTTAAACAACAAAGATCAAATGATTAAACCAGGCACATGATATTAAGTCATTTTATTTTTTCCTATAACAGTATTGTTTCTTGACCAATATTGTTTTATCTTGATTACTTAGTAAAGTGTCATTAAAAATTCCTTCCATTATTGAAATAAATCATTCTTTGTTAACAAATGACGTTCTAGAATGATATTTTGTAAGATTTTTCTTGAAAGATAAGCAGTTTGTCTTTCTTTACTTGTATATAGCACAACTTCGTGAAAACATCTATCGAAAATTACAAAGTATTTTTATATGCACTCATAGTAGATAAAAAATTTTCTTTTGTAAATAAAACTGTAAGAAAAGAACAACTTACCAGGGCAACACAAAGTGAAATACAGACTCTTTCTGTACATATAAGTCTGGTTTCAGCTGATAGATTTCTGCTGCCTCTGCATAACATAACAACCTACTATTTCTTTATCTATTATTATTACTATTTGTCTCTTGGGTTCCTAATGAAACATAGGGCTTCAGTAGCACGTCTCCAGTGAACTCTGTTCTCTGCAAACTTTTGAACCTGGCCCCACGACTGACCAGAACCTCTCATTTCTTTCTCGCACCATCTCCTCCATGTCACCCTCACCTCGGACGCCCAGCTCGTCCTTTCCCATCAGGGTTCCGCTTGTGGGCCTGGCCTGGCGCGTGATGTCCCCGAATGGTCTTCTCAGTCTATGCCCAATCCATCTCCACTTCCTTCCAGTGCATATTTATTGAGCGATAAGTTCTTGGTTGGTTTGTTGCCAGAGTTCCTTATTGGTTATTCTTTCTAGTCAACTGATCTTCAGTAACGAGAGTAGGCTTCTTTGTCTATTGATTACATAAAAAGCTATGTGTTGAGTCAACGGCATAACCTGTATCGAGTATGTGCTTACCAATGGTGCTACTTGGTAACCTTCCACCTTTCAATAACAGACTTTTCGGTACATGTTCAGAGATTCGTTTAGTAAGCATCCTCTCCGTTCTTTCAATATATATACAGGTGAATAAATAAATACAATTGGAGATAACATGAGGAGGTCTCATATCTAAATTAGTTTCTCTGATCAGGTTTTTTGTGTCATAGACAACTGTTAATTTCACAGCTGGATAAGTTAATGCGACGTATACATCCAATCAGAGATTATTTTGTCAACTCAATTCATCTCTTTTGAATGGTAGTCTAATGAACAGGTTGTTTTTCGACATAGTTGTATCATTCAGTTTCTCATTTTTAACTTTGAAGTGTTTATTAATAAACTTTATACAATATCCATTTCTCTAACATTTGATATTCAGTTTATTGAAATTTTCAATGATCAATGTTTTTATATAGTTCATCTACTATTGTGATAATTGGAAATGAAAAGAAAATTGGAGTCGTTTATATGGGAACACCAGTTGGCTATTAAACATCACACACGACACTTCATTACTCAATGCTCAATACACATAGATAACAACTATGGACATGAGTTCAGCTTTGACAGTGTAGAAATCTTGGAGGGAGATAGGAAACACAAAAAATATCAGAGGATTTCATGGATCTTGTAAGGTTTTTCTTGAAAGATAAGTAGTTTGTCTTTCTTCCCTTGCATGTACCACAATTTTTTGAAAACACCTATTGAAAATTACAAAGTATTTTTATGTGCACTCAAAGTAGATAAGAAATTTTCTTTCGTAAATTAAAATCAGATGAACCATTCTCATGGGTTCAATAGTAGTGACCAGACCCTTAATCTTACAGGATACTACTAAATAATTTAATGTTACTAAAATGAGTATATTGATCTCAGGTTGATATTCAACATGAATAAACATCAGTTGAAAGAACATTGAAAACTTAAGAGCATTGGACAGCCGTTTCGTTTTAGTATAGGACTCCTCAGTAGTGAGCATGCGTGACCCCATCAGGGATTGAATTCAAGATCATCAGGTTCTGTGACCAGCACTTCACCGTTAAGCTACCTGATCTTAATTCAACTATCCGTATTCCTCATTTCTGTCAATTCACGATAAAGTGCGACCTCCATCGAATGCCAGCGGGAGCAACCAAATAAATTATGAGGGCAGTTACTCAATCGTGAACTGACACAAGTAGGAAATATGGACCATTAGATTCCGATCCAGTGACTCAATGGTAACTTGCTGACCGTGGAAATTGAAGGTCTTTGGTTCAATCTGTAGTGGGGTCATGGGTGAGCACTGTTGAGGAGTCGCATACTAGAACGAAAAGGATGTACAGTGCTCCTAGGTTTCTAATGTTTCTCCAACCGATGTCACTTTATGGTCACTACCAAGCCAAAATCAATAAATAAACCCTTACAAACTTCCAAATTAAAATGAGTATATGGTTGAGTTTATCAAAGGCATATGCTTCACGAAGCACTTCTGTACGAAAAGTTATTTTTAGTAGGTCTGTTGAGAATACTGACTAAACTTTCTAAGATACATTTTCTATTCGATGACATTATGGAGTTTTTGAACGAAGTTAACTGCTCTATTATCTCATGCATCAATTTATAATGAGCTTACTGATAAATTATATCGTCAAGATTATCATTTAAGTCCTAGTAGTACCTCTTGGTAGTATGGAATGTGTGCTCATATCAAGAAGTAAAGGAAACCTATACCTTTTGAGCTTTATATGACCGTCAAGGTAAAAGTAATCGTTTTCCTGTAAAGTCTTTTAAACTAATGTTATTGTCTAAAGTGGTGGTCCCCAAGCTTTAGTAGAAACAACGTCACTCATCGAGAATCACATGCATCTTGCTGACGAGTTCCAACTGGGATGAAACGCTTTTCTTGTAATTCACTGCTATTCACTATTCATCTTTTCTACCAAAGTTCAGCTACAGGCAATATCAAAGTATCCACCTTGAAGCTCACTGGTCAATAGTAGTCGATCAATTCAGTCCAATCAACAATAGGAAATTACTAGTAATGACAACATTTGATTGAGTATTTCCAGGTAAGTGGGGATATTTCCTACTGAATACTAATCATAGTCTAAAAGAGTATTAATCTGCCTTATTGTATGGGTTCTTTTCATGTTTGCTTTTTAATGATTTCAGTATGGAACACTGGATATGTATTTTACTTACATATTTAGTTAAAGTTTTGAGTATGAATGACCTAATTCCTTTCAATGAAATTCATTACTTCCATTTTTCAGAAAGAAGAAATTTTTAAAACAGACTACACTTGAACTTGATTAAAATGTCTAGTTAATGATTACATCAGCAAGAGTTACTATTAATCATTGATTTCCATATATATTCATAAAATTAGTCAAGGTTAGTATATCTGTGTAGAAGACAATTTTCATATCAGTGTATTTTCAAGAATAACATACTATATGAAGAAGTATTTCTTCATTCTCTTCGCTATTTATTCTTAAAGTACACTAAGTGAAAAGTGTTTAGTAATGTAGTATGAAGTGGGTTATCAATTAAGCAGGAAGATACCTTGATTAAAACATATTTTTAAAAATGACAATTTAATAGGTGCTTGTGGTCGACTTGACTGAAATGGATCATACAACAGAACTGTGAGGAGTGAGAAGATGAGCATTTACTGTTTCAACGATGAAAAGACCACAGAAGAAGACTTAGACTTCGCCAACAATGATCATTCATGTCTAATGTCTTATGTCACACAGAATCGAAGATCCACAGGGGAAAACCAACAAGTTGGTAGGCGAAGCGAGGCAACGAAGAAAGACGGGACTTCATTGAGGTGAAGGTAGAGAAGACACAGGTGGTGGAGATACCCAACAGTCATCACCAACAAAATGCACTAATCACCATCAATGGAAGAAACCTGAAGCAAGTTGTCTGCTTCATCCACATACCTACACAGCATCGTTTCAACTACAGGTGGTGGTACAGTCACAGTCACAGGCACAGATGACGATGTCGACGCCAATATCGGAAAGACAAGGAGATGGGCCTTCCTGCATTGGTCGTAGATAATCAGTGTGGAGATGTACTGTAGCCCATTGCACTGCACTCAGTATGAAGGGTGAATAACATTCGGATTTTCAATACGAATTCAGTGAAGTCAGTGTTTTTTTGTGACTGTTGAGAGTTTTGACGCTTTGTGAAAAGCATTTCCAACGAGCAACTGCAGGCATACATGGAATCATCAACAGCTGCTGCCTGTGTTCATTCAACATTGACATTGAGGATGGAGATCAGATGACCAGAATAACAAGAATAAGCGAGGAGAACCTCTGACTGGCCCCACAACGAACCAACCGAGAACCTCTCGCTCAACAGATATGCAGCAGAAGAAAGTGGAGTTGGATTGGATTGAACATAGACTGAGAAGACCGTTTGGGGATATCCTGAACCAGGCAGGCCGTCGAGTGGAATCCAAAAGGGAAACGATGAGTTGGGCGTCCGAGATGAGGGTGATGTGGGGGAAGAAATGAAAGCTTGAGGGCAGTCGTGGCACCAGGTTGAAAAGACTGGAGGGCACATAGTGAAATAGTGATGTGTTACTCAAT